TTAGATTCATTAAAGCACATGGTCTCTGTTGAGGACGATTAGTTTTCGCGCTTCTCGAACTTTCGCGATCGGAATGCTGACACGAGGTCGGCACGAGGCGGGCCGGGATAGACCAAACCACCCCTCTCTTATCACCTGTGCTCCTGCTCCGAATTCTGTCGCAGATATCAGCTACCGGCGTGCGAGTGTGTATCGTCTTCAGAATAAATGCGACTTTCATACATAACGGTCTGATTTCTCTGTGCTACCCTATCTCTCGCAACCGTGCGTTCCCAGATTATCGCAACAGTCTCGATTGTGGATAAAAACTCAGCTGAATCTCACTTGCCATCATGCAAAAGGAACGTGCATTTAACTGAGTTATGACGTCACAAGTGAGAATTATCTGAGTTTTGATGTAAATGGAAAGCAACTAATATTGTACCACAGATTTCTCTTGTTTATTATTATAAGCATATATTTAAGAATCTTAAACCTTGTTTGCTTCAGCTAGGATATGTTCGAAGCATTTTGCTGATGAAGCTTTTACGAAGCCCTTACAAGAACATCTACTAGGTTATTCACCTACACGAACTAGGAAGATACATCCTGATGCTATCCCGACGTTGCATCTCCATGCAGTACCTCCACTAACATCAAACGAAAATGTGTTAGCTGAAACAATGCCTTTGCCTGTATCAAATGAAACCTGTATATTAAATATTTGCATTTATTGTTATTTGATCTTTTATCTGCATCTTTCCTCTGCATATATAGTTCTTTATGTCGTACGCCACAATATATTTTTGTTTTGCGTCTCAGCTGACAATTCTTTTCCAATCGTTTTCCGACCAGTTTTGATTAAAACTAATAATTCGCAGAATTTTAATAATAAATGACTGGAAATTAAAATCTCGTTTTATGTGAAATTTTTCCGTACGTCGCAATGATTTTTATTCAATGCACACAATTCTTTTTTTCTTAATAATAATAATATTTTCTGTAATATCATATATTTAGACAAATCCACATAAAATAATTATAAAATTCGTCAAATAACAATAACGTTTCTAACATCTACAACGAGAGACAAATTCGGGAAACGATGAGCGTTTATCCGTATGTCACGTGCGTTTTTTATATTTATATATTTTTGTTCATATATATTTATTTATTTATAAAACAGAATTTTCTCTCACATAAATGATCAACATTATTTTGTATTCACATATTGTCCGCTCAAAATGCTTTTATAAATGACTATTATAGATTCGCTGCTTAAATGTGCCGCTCAGTGTGACGTAAGGTTGGACAAGTCGCTGATTGGCTGGGTTCGGAAATATGCGCAAGAGCATACCCTTGTATTTCTACCATGGTAGGGAGATGGCGTTCCACGCGACATAAGGCATATCGATTATGTGTGTGGGGCGGCCGGCATGGGTGAAGGCCGTCCTGGCCGTCGGACGCAGCGCGATTTCCATAACGGCTACTTGCAAGGTTTGAAGCTGTCCGGATTGACCGTCGACCGAACGATGATCACGATCGGGAGATGATGCCGGGCACGTCTCGCCAGCTGGAAACGTCTAACGGTAGTAAGCAGTAGTAAGAAATCGACTTCTCTTCACGCTCTCCGTCACATCTCATTAGCAAGAGGGTAGCGGGAGGGAGAGGGGACCGTCGTTACGGAATTTGACAACGGGCGACTCGGCTTCGCTTCAAACATGTTGTTGGGGATCGTGGGTTTTGACCGTCGTAAATCGCGACGTCCAATTGTTGATCGCTGACGTCCATCGATCGTCTGTGTCCGTTCGGATCTGTGCATCACTGTCCGACTGTCGTTGCGAGCTAATTTTTGCGGCGTGTTGACATTGTACCGGTGTGCAATATCGAGGACCGGCACCTGCATTTGCCCCTATTAAATTGTCTGGAACATAATTCTACTGTCGCGTTTGACTTAACTTTTGTTATTATTTGAAAAATGTTGGATATTGCATAGCAAAAATGTTAATTGTGTACATTTTAAAATTTGTTTATCGGTGTATAGATTGTGTAGATGAGAATATTTTTAATTTAGAACGACAGCTGATATAATATTGATATATAAGTTAATTAATTTTTAATTTTAAACCATGCAATAACGTTATGTTTATTGCTCAGATCCTGTGTGGAGCACTTTAATGGAGGTCCACCATGAACCGATTGAAAAGAACTATCAGCTGCTTGAAGAGATTGGCAAGTAAGCGCTGTTACTTCTAACTGATTTTCCTTTTATTGATGTTTTTCTTTAACGTTCAATGACTTTTGCAATCTTGTAAAATGCAGGGGTCAATTTGCTATTGTACGAAAATGTCAAGAAATAAAAACTGGAGCATTGTACGCCGCAAAAATTATGCGAAAGAGGCGAGTTGCCAGAGGTGTGGCTGCTGCTGACATTGGTAGTATTTTTTTTAGCCTAATACATTGCTGAAGTCTAATACATACTCTTATTCTTAATATACTTTAATATGGTAATTTTTTTTAGCACGAGAAGCTGGTCTTTTGGCTCGATTAAGACATCCTAACATTGTTTCATTATACAAAGTAATAGACACAGGAACAACAGTGGTGTTGCTCCTGGAATTGATTACGGGAGGCGAATTATTTCATTGGACTCCGTCCGGTGAAGCAGAAGCTGCTCATGTGGTACGTAAATACATTACGATTAAAGTAAATACATTAATAAATGTTCTGGGAATAATTTCTAATTTATATCCTTTCCAAGGTGCGCCAAGTTTTAATGGCACTTAATCATTTACATTCCCACCAAGTTGCTCATCTGGATATTAAGCCTGAGAATATTCTACTGTCGTCACCACCACCGATGCCTAGCATTAAGCTGATAGGTAATGTTTGCAATGCTTTGTGTTAAATAGATAATCATCAATATAATTTTACTAGTCATTAATTTCAGTACTATTGTTCTACAGATTTAGGTTTATCGCATCGACTGGTACCTGGTTCAGAACACAGAGCACTGTTTGGCACGCCTGAATTTGTGGCGCCGGAAATCGTAAATTACGAACCACTTAGCTTGGGAACTGATCTTTGGGCTGTTGGTGTATTAACGTATATTCTTCTGAGCGGAGCTTCACCATTTTTAGGCGAGGATAAGCAAGAGACATACGCAAACGTTGCTGCTTGCCAATACCAATTTGACAATGAATATTTCAGTAATGTGTCCGAGATTGCCAAAGACTTTATACGATCCTTGTTGATCAAGGATCCAAAGTAAGTTGCAGGAGAATTATAAATTTGTGAATTTATTAACTTATTATTAATAAATATAAAGTAAATGTAACAATGCCTAGACAGTCAGAGGACACGTACTTATGTCTGGACACCTTATCATTTTAGTTATTAAATAATATAAACGCAAATTAATGTTTGGATGCTATAATGTATTTAATGTATTTTAAAACTTTAGTTCATTAAAACTATTTTTATCTTTTATTTTAATTCGCGTTATACTTATTTAACTAAAATGATAAAGGTGTCCAGACATAGATACATGTCCATTGACAATCCAGGCATTGGTACATTTACTTTAATTCGAGAAAAAAAAATTATTTTTTTATTTTAGGGAGAGAGGAAATGCTGAATCGTGCCTTAAACATCCCTGGATTCTCACGGTGTGTTCCTGAAAACGACTCACATTGTTCAAAAACATTGCGATTTATTATACATTCTGTTTCAATGTATTATATAATTAATTTTATTCATTTTTTTACCAACTTCTATTTCAATCCGTTGTACAGTTATATCGTATATTAGATATATACGAATTATTTTTTTACATACAATATATATTACTAAATCAAAAACAGTACGCAATTTTTTTTATTGTACATACATATATACCTTGGTTATTGAAAAAAAATATATTTTTTAATTTTATGCATGCTGCACGCAACAAAAGATAATGCAAAATTATTTTATAATTTCAAAGAAATTACAGTTGCATCATACCGATAAAAATTTTATTCTCTTTATACACAGGAATCTGAAGCTCCTCAAGGTCTCGGTGGAGCAATGATCAGTGCTGTGAAGCGTGGCTGTGTTGAGGCTGTCTCTCAGTTACTGTTACAGGGTGCTCCATTAAATATGAAAGACTCTGTAAGACATCTTTTATTCATTTTGCTAATATTGCGTACCGAATGATAATCCGAATAAAATGGTTGCACGTTCCTGTTTCAGAAAGAAGACACTCTTTTGCATATCGCCTGTGAGATTGGCGACGAGGGAATGACGATTTTGCTGATAGAGAGCGGAATTGATCTAGACACACCGAACAAACAAGGTCTCACGGCGTTACATGTAGCTGCTCGTCACGGACATATTAATCTTGTCAGACATTTGTGCCTTGCTGGTTGCGACGTTGATAAAACAAATCGAGGGATCCGAGCGGACGTCACGGCGATTAAATATGGACATCCGGAGATCGCAAATTTATTAGATAAATTGAGAAATGTGAGTTCTTATATTTTTTACAATACACAATGCTTTCCACGTTTGGAAGAATTATGCGAAAGTCGAATCTTGTTTTAAATCATTTTTAGTTGAATCAGCGCGAAAATTACATTCGTCAGCTGCAACCGACACACAGACCGATAGACCGGCTGCATATAAGACTGCTCGGGCATTGCGCCTCTGGAAAAACATCATTAATCAATTCTTTAAAATCTGGACTATTTAGTTTTGGCTTCTTTCGAAGGTCGAGAAGCCAGAATTGTAGCGCTAAGGTAGGTGCATGCGATAAAAATGTAATAAATGATAAATAAATAATAAAAATTATTGATATGTAGAGAGAACCAAGTATCGAACTCGACGTGACGAGTAAACACGGGTCTCTCAGTTTTGAGTACAGCGATAGTGAGTATGAAGGTACTCAGGGAGTAGAGTGGAGTCGCGGTAATGTAGGTGAGCGAATTATACTTAATTATTACTTAATTTAACACAAATATATGGGAGTTATGGTAATGTAATAGAGATTGAACACTTTTGTAATATGTATTTTTAAATATTTAATGTGATAGATTGTTTTAAAACTTAAATATGTCATATGGATGTATTTAATTGACCAGGTGGCGAATGCGTCTTTTGGGAGTTATGTGGACGCGAAGAGTTTCTGGCGTCTTATCATTACGTACTTACATTCCAGCAACCAGCAGTGCATCTTATTACAGTCAGTTTGAGAGAACCGCTGACCGTTCAACTTCAGCAGATAAAATTCTGGCTGCAATTTATTTTGGATCGTATTAATCCGACTAATGTTGGTAAGATACTGTTGTGTTTGAATCTTTTGTATTGTAATTAATTTTTGTGGATAAATTTCGTAATTTTAATTTTTGCCTCTTTTATTAAAGGATTTGGTGGCAAATGCAACGACGTAAAAGTAATCTTAGTCGGTACTTACGCACCAGAACCTTTAGCTCCGAATTCTAACGGCGGCAATCTACTCGCACCACTCTTGCCATTTCTGAAAGACTTTACATCAATTTTAGGAGAAGAACCTCAAATGGTAGCATTAGACGCAACTAATCCTTCTAGTCCTGGCCTGAAACTCCTCAGATCTTATTTAAATAATGCAAGGATGGAATTTCTCGAGGTAAAATGATGATTATATTCTTTGTAAAATTATAAATTTATCATATTTCATCTATAACATTAGAAGAGATATTATATTTCTCATCACTCACTTGTCTATGCAGAAATAAAAATTGGCGAGCAATCACGAATTCAGCAAATCTGTTTCTGATGCCAATTTGTAATCTCTTCTGATTTTATATATCTTTACCATCGAGATATTATACATATCTTTAATCCACTTCGAAATATATATCAGTAAATGCATGATATCAGTATGCTTGATACTAAATATATGCGAACAGAACCGTTTGATTCTGCAGCCTGTTGATACAAGCAATTGTAACTAACGCAACCTTATGTAAATAATCACATTTCCGCAGGAAATTGTACAAATTTGTACAGCATGTAATAAATGTGCTCATTAACCTTTCGTGAAACGGTTCTGATCAATAATGATCTACCTCATTACGCTGTTGTTTGTATAATTCATTCATCAATTTCGAAATTTACAGTGTCAATATATTGTCGAATCAGCCATTGACTCTCAACGGAGGCAATACGACAATTTCTATAATCACTTATATGATTTTCCTCTGAGACATCCATGATGCATGGTTGATTTGATATATGTACAAATAATTGAAAATATTGAAAGTACCTTCTGTGTCCCATGACTTTCGACGACATTCAATTATTTGCGATGTTTGATTGATTGAGCGCACCATTTCCAATAAAAAGATCCGATATCATGTGATATATATGTATATCACATTGAATCGAATTTATTAAGAACATATGTTTTAGTTGCTGGTTATTTGGCCATTAATGTTTATTAACAAGCCTTAATGCATGCAATGCATGATGTAGGATGGACCGGAAGTTGCAGAAAGTATTCTCCGACGTGACGCGCCGCGTGCTGCGGCTACATACGTGCCCCTGGCGAATCTTGATAAACAGGTCGAAATACTTCTCTCAATTCCTTTAAATAATTCTGAATGATGTGTATAAACTGAAACTGTACTTTGGTTCAATAGTTGCACTAATGCTTTCTCCCATGTATACATACATGCACTATATTATCTATCTTAAAAAGAATAAAAGAGATTCTCTCTCTTGTATATATTTTCTGCATCAATGTGATATTGGGATAAAGATAGAATTCTATTACTATGGATATTAATTACGTATTATAGAGCGCCTTAGTGTGGACTGGTCTCGCCGAAGCATGGAGGTCGTACATGCAGTCGTTAGAAGTGCCTCCGTTAATGCTTACTCAGGAAGAATTTCTGAACGAGGTTCGAAAGATCAATCCTTTAGTATGTTTGGAACATTGCAGACATCTCGGATTACAGTTACAGGTTTGTAGTTTATTAATTCCAATTAAATTTATAAGATGTTACTTTTTTCTCTAATAACAAGTATTTATTTAAATTACAGAACTTGGGGGAATGCATTCTTTTACCTGGAAACCTGATAGTGCTTAGTCCCGAATGGTTTTGGCAAGATGTGCTAAATTGGCAATTAAGCCCCAATCAAAGAGGACGATTGGGCGGTCGAACCACCGGTGTTTACACCTTAGAAGATTTTCAAGCACGATGTCCGTGCCCTGCCGCTCAAGCTCTGCAAGCTTTACAAGCAGTCAATTTATGCGTTCCGGTATGTTTTAGGAAATCTGATTAATTGATTGATTATATTATTTGATTATTAAATTTTAGTGCGAAGTGGATGACGACGAAGTGGAGTACGAGATACCGTGTTTAAACCTTGTAGAGCGTCTACCGGGTTTATGGGAACCGTGGAAACCATGTTCCAACGCGTTACCTCACACTGGTTTACGTCTTTGTCCAGAAGAAGCGCCTTTATACCATTTAACTGCTATATTTACGCACTTACAGGTAATCAATCTTTATAATAAAGAAAATGTGACAGTAGGAGAATATTGAAAGTACTAGAATACTAACGGGAACACTATGCGCTTCTCTTTACTGATTTCGATAAAATTTACAGCAATGATATAAGATACTACCTAATTAACAGATATAAAGCCGTCTTTCAGAATGGATCTTTGAAGCTGAGTTATAAGTAGTTAAAGGTGGATCCTTCTTCTGATATGATACTTTAACGGTCAATAAAAGCTGGCTCGCGTACGGATAATATCGGATTTTTTTTTTTAATTTTTGTTTTTCTTAAATCTGAGAATGTTTATCAATTAATTTTTTTATTTGTTTATTCAGTTATTTAGTTTTTCATTGATTTAGAAGAAACAGAATAGCGTTTCAGCTTCGAAGAAGAAAAACGATTTTACATGTATTAGGTAGACTGGTAGATAACATCTTCTACCATTGCTGTAAGTTTTATCGAAATTGGTGAAGAGCAGCACGTATAGTGCCTTCTTGCAAGAACACTGAAATACTGAAATTGTAGGCGCAACTGAGAAAAATTACTCAAACGTGGGATCCATCGAATTCGGATCTGTATCAGTGGTGGCGAGGATCAAAACTATGTTTGGGACCTTGTGAAAGTATAATCACTTTCGAGGAAGAGGAACACAGCTGCGTGGAAATTCAAGTTCGCGGTCCGCGTGGTTCCAGTGCGCAGTGTTTTGCTCTTCTTAGCGTGATTCTGGATGCGATGGATACAACCATCGAATTAGTCGCCCCTGGAATGTTACTCGAGAGGCATTGGTTGAGTCCTAGCCAGCTTCGAGAATACGATGAAGTAAGTAAAGATTAAAAAAGGACACATTTAGATTTATATATTATAAAATAAAAAAAATTGTGATTGTGTGTTTTTATTTTAATCGATACATTTGCAGATAGTTCACTCTTGGGCGCCAGCCACTGTTATATCAGCTTTAATTGACAAAGGTCTCGAAGAGGCAACTCTTAAAAATCCTCTAAACGACCGACAAGAAACCGTGTGGGAGATAGTAAGTTGCGGTCTGCCATTGATGGAGAATTGCGTTCCCGGACCGAAGCAACCTGTAAAATACATTAAGCCTGCTGTGCAGCGGCGACTAGCGCAGATGCTGGATCCACCTGATCATCACGGAAGAGATTGGTGCTTACTCGCTGTAAGGCTCGGTTTGGGGGATCGCGTCGCCCAACTAGATAGTACAGTGGACAGTCCAACTTTGAGGTAAAAACACTTTTGAAACATGCCGATTACGTCGTAACCACAGACGTATATCTATGGTCGTAACGCAACTGAGTATTCTAAAAATTCCATATTTGATTCACAGGCTACTGAACTGCGCGGGTGCGGAATGCACCGTAGGTTTGCTGGTGCAACAATTGCGAGCACTCGATCGCGAGGACGCCGTGCACCTGTTGCTCACGTATACGCCAACCTACGTGCTATTGATGTCCATCGACTCCGAGACAGGGTCTAATCTTTCCAGATGACGATGTTGCTCTCATCAATGGCGCATCAGCACCTTCTAGGTGTTCTTTTTCTCGAAACACCGCACGTTTGATGAATAGCATTGTCTTTCTATTTCCGCCCAGTGTACATTGTACGTTAATTTGTTAAGTACGTGTATGTTCTTATATGTAACTTAACTTTAATGATTGATCGCATTGCGCTTCGAACTGAATGATATGAGGGAGATCCGTGACGTTTTTTGTACTTTGTTTTATATTCTTTCTTTTTCTTTATTATTATTTTTTATTTTGTACTTACTAGCCGATGAAGTACTTGTTAACTCACATTACTATATTGATTTGTGGTATGATTATCGTAAATGGAAATCGATTTCTTCTCACATCTTTTAATTTGTATTAATTATTTAGACAGAAAGTGGTATTACTTAATACTTTTTATTTTTTGATAGAATTGTGCTGTGGTTAATATTACATTAATAAGCGTTGTGTTATTGTGCAGTTTGCATTTTTCTTGTTATATGAAGCTGTTAATTCCAAGGAAATGATGCATTTACATATTGTAATATGCGATATGATCATATTTGATACTGATATTGTTTTGAGCGCTTTTCTTGATACGCCAATATGATCTTGATATATACAAATACATGTATATGTGTATATATATATATATATATATATATATATATATATATATATATATATATATATATAAACATATATACACGTATTACATCTTGCCAAAAGTCTATGTCAATATGCACTGCTTTTTCAATACTTCGAAATATTTATCAAGCATGTATATATGCGCAAAAAGAGTGAAACAACAATTTGCACAGTTTACTATTACTTTTGGATACATCGACTGTGTATGTACATTCGAATACAGTTGAGTGCATATTTCTATTGAACTTTATGCAACATCTTTACTGCGTGCCATATACAAAAATGGTAAAAGTATATGCGATATTAAAAAAAGAGATATACTAAAAGTACAACAGTCAAACTAATTCTTCTGTAACATGACTGCGTTACTTTTTATTGTAAGTAACATTTACAATTATAAAAGTCTACTTATCTACATACTTGTGAATCAACTAGAAAATCGATCTCACCAACGTGTAACAGTTAATTAAGAAGTATGTACTATTAACAGTAAAAACATTCACATCGAAACATCTATAGAATTTTATTCGGGTAGCTCTCTTTTCTCATCAACATCTTATAATAGCTTAAACGAAGAAGTTACATGTTATAATCTGAGACTGTTGTAAAAATAAACTGGTGAAATTATTAAATATATCTTTCGCTAGATTTAATGGTCTTATTTATTATTATATCATTTTCATCTAATAGGTTTCATCTCACTTGTCTGTCTATTTGCTAATTTCTAGATTTGTAAAATAATTCCACGGATGGTTTTTGCCCCCTTATTTTCAACTTGTTAAATTTCTCGATCTATTTTCTAGATATACGATTTTTTCTATAATGTCATAAAATCTTTTTCAAGTAGATTTTTAATCTCAAATCTCGGAACTTTAAATTTCATTAGTGTGGCTTCATCAAAAGCTCCCGCGCGTGACATCACTCGTTCGATATTCCCGCAGGACATCGATCAGCGGGAAGATTCGAAGCCGGTTCACGCAGATTGACATTTTAACGCGACTCATAATGTCAATCGGGCCTATGTGACGATGGACCTAGTCAGGCTGTTTACTACGGGGAGTTGATTACGTGGTCGGTAGAAAACAGGAACGGGATTCTTTTCGGGGGCCGAGAATAGCATGGGAACGGGCAGATATCGCGTTTCGTAGGCAGGCCGCGGCGACGACGGCGGAGGGTAAGTTTCGGGACGGCAGCCAAAGTCCCCAAGCAATTATAGAATTGGATTGGATCGGGGAGTTCGGGAAGGTGGCCGGCATCGCCGCCGAAATCGGTTTCGTTTTATTTTAGCTTAGCTGTCGAAAGCATCCGGTTGTGCATTCTCCCCGCGGATCAGCGTCACGATCACAGTGAGTGTCCCCCTTAGTAGGAATTTCTCTGCTCGTCCAGCACCACCGCGCGAAATTTATTAAACGATTAATAGGGTGATACAGATACATCGGGCGTTGAATGACGGGGTGAAATCTCGCGGCGAGTAATACCCGACGTTCTTGTGATTGCACCACTCGTCGTCCTTCTTTTACTCGCTATATTTAAGGTATGGGCCCTGCTCGCCACTGCTTGCTGTGAATAATTAAAACATTTGTTCAGGATTTTATTAGAATTAATTAAAATATTTTTATATTTTAATTTTAATTAAAATACTTATATTTTTATTATTTTATTTTAACTTATATTTTAGTTAAGTGCGCGATTTATGAATTTTGTGGGCTTTGATCGCGCAATTATTAGCGTAATTTTCATCGATTAAAATTATATTTTAACTTTACAAGATAATTATGATATCCAGGATAATTGATAAGAGGAAAGTCCAAAATCGCGCGTCACGATGGAGGCGATCAAGAAAAAAATCGCGGCGTTGAAACTCGAGATGGATGCCGCGAACGAGAAGGTCGAAACCAATGAGACGAAAGCGAAACAAGAAAATATAAGAGCAGACAGGCTGAATGACGATCTTAGAGATCTGCAGAAACGACTTGTCCAATTGGAACGAGATTATACTATCGCCAAAGCTAACTTGGAACAATCAACCGCTGATCTAGAGCAGTGCGAAAAATCTTGGTCCAGAGTGCGTAATAATGATTAAAACGAATGGATTTTCTAAATCAGATTTCCTACAATATAAGCAAGTTTTTTTTTTCATAAGCGTGTGATAAATTTCTACGAAGAAAACAGTTTTCTAATAATAACATAATTTGTTGAAGCTATCAATTATTAAAAGCTATTAAGAGACGCTATCAAAAAGCTATAGCAATCAATATTCTTCGATAAGTATCTATCTAAAGAACCTTTCACCTTGTACCAATTAATCGTGTTCTACATATAGGCTGAGCAAGATCGTACCGTTTTAACGAAGAAAGTGCAGGAGATCGAAGCGAGTCTCACCAAAAAGGAGGAGCTGCGTCTTTCCGCCACACTAAAACTGGCACGTGCGACCGAACTCGCGGACGACGCGCAGAGGTTCATAAATTTAACGCCGGATTTTAACGTTTTGCAAATGTGATACGTTTGCAAAACATAAGTTAAACAGATTATACATAAATTGTCCAATAAGATAAATTATAGAACAAGATTTGACGAAGCAATGCTATTTTCCTTTTTTCTTACGTACAGAATGTGTAACGTCCTGACGGAGAGGAGTCGCTTGGACGAGGAACGTATGGAGAAGCTGATGTCGGAATTAAAAGACGCAAGATTAATCGCCGAAGACGCTGACGCGAAATCCGACGAAATAGCCAGGAAATTACAATTTGTGGAGGAGGAGTTGGAAGCTGCTGAAGAAAGAGTGAAGACTAGCGAAGCGTATGCATAGCGATTATAATTTGCGTCACATACATATAAAAAAAAAATATATATATATATATGTGTAAATTTTCTCACTTAAAATATCTTTTCGCAGAAAAATCGTGGAACGCGAGGACGAGCTCTTCATTGTACAGAATATCGTAAAATCCCTTGAAGTATCCGAGGAGAAGGTGACGTAACATATACACTGCGATAGTTATTAATCGCGCTGCAATATCACTTCTCGATTATTTTGATTTCAGGCAAACCAGCGAGTAGAAGATTTTAAGCTGCAGCTGAAATCTTTGAAAAAAAAACTGAAGGAGGCAGAGAAGCGTGCAATCACCGCCGAAAGGACGGTCAAGGCGTTATTAAAGGAAATGGACATGAAGGAAGGTAAGACTCTTCTGTAGATTTTATTTCTAAGAGTATTCCAATTATTCTATAAATTATTTTTTAAAAATGATTCTGCTTTTTTTTCTTTTCTATATTATAGAGAAATTGTTGATTGTTTCAGACGAACTCAGAGAAGAAAGGGAAAAGTACAAGGCGGTCTGCGACGACATGGACGCGACATTCGCCGAGATGACAGGCTATTAACATCTTGCGGACAGACTTGATTTAACTCTCGCTGCTACTCATCCTACGCTTCCCTCCGCTTATTCGCTATCTTTTAATATTCATTAGTTCGGCTCGTTGTGCTTAAAAGTCGCTTAAATGCCGTTCGTTTTGTTGTACGGAGAGCCGTGAGCGATATTAGAAATAATCTGCTTCGCGCAATAATATACTGATGGACAAGGCAATGCAATGCGACTTGTTACTATAACTGCTTCGCTTCGTGTAATATCTTGCCAAGATCGAACAACTAGTTCATGGTCGCTTGTTGTTCACTATGTCGATCAAAGATTCACAATTTCATCTATTTCTTTTTCTTTCAGAGGCGTTGGAGGGATTTAATGTCGTACGCGCGAGCGAGGCCATGATATCGCGCATCCTTTTTACCATTCAATGTAAAATGTGTATTTTCAATAAATAGTATCACAAATTCTCTAATGAGTTTTAATCCTTGATGTATCATGCTGTTAATATATTATAAAGTTTTCAAAAACGACTAAATAAATATTATAGGAATATAATGAATAAAAGTTATTTTTTAATTTTATTCGCTTTTTAATATAATATCAATAATCAATTTCTCTAATATTAAATATTATTTATAAAATAGATAGATTGACAAAAGATATAACTGTGAAATTGAAAATAAGGCTCCTGTTGACTCACTTCAGCCATGTTTGATTGATAACGTCAGGAGCGAAAAAATATATTATGAAAATTCTTGCAACGTATATACATTAAAATAAAAATGGTTTGCAATAAAATAGCATTTCTATAATCGATAGAATAGACTTGTAAAATGTACCGAAAACTACCTTTTCGTTATGATAATCAATAAATTGATAACCCACACATGTTGAATTGAATTGCGTCTAATCAAGAATGAAGACAAGCTGTTTGACAGCTGTCGAATTGAAATAAATATTTGCTTTCACATGTTAAATTATAATAAAATTATAAAATGGGAGTCTTCGGTATATTATAACACTACAACAATTATTTTAAATATAAAAGCTATTAAAAGATGCTATCAAAAAAAGCTATAGCAATCAATTTCCTTCGACAATATTTTTATAAAAAACTGCACTAGAACAAGAAATAGCGCTGCAGGTTGTAAGAATAATTTAATTTTTTAACGTTATTTTTCACTTCTTTTAATTCAATTTTGCCAAATTTTGTGAGTGTATTATTAACGCGGACTTAGCCAGCATGCAGGAACCTTTATATCTTAACGTTTGTCACGCAAAATATGAAATAAAAGATATGTCTGTTATTTAAAGTAAAAAAATAGAGATATACTACATCCATTATGAAACTTATTTTAGAACATAATAATTGTTAAACAGATATAATACAAAATAAGAGTAATGATCGATATATCTGCGATCGGCAACAATCATCGGCACAACAAAGCAGACTACTGCTTTAAGAAGAGTCCAAGAATTCGTTTGAGCCTAACTAAAGCGACGGTCGCTTTTATCCTTTTGCATTGCATTGAGTCTATAAAACATTGTCCTCATCGGTCACTGAGTACAGTAACCCACGGACGTTGCATTTTGATACTTCGCTCGTTTCTGCGGTAATTAAAAATTCTGTTTAGCAGAGTGTAAAGCTGAAAATTATCATTTTTATACGCGGCAAGAAGATACTTCAAAGTGAAAGTGTTTTACGTGGATTTAGTCAAAGAGCGTTCTTGATCAGATAACTTGCAATAAAAAGATTATAAAATAATATAAACAAAAATAATTATCGTAAACTAAAAATATCAAAAATTATTATAAAAATCTTTGCTGTACGACAAAGTTTATTAGCTAATAAAAATTTAATTTTTACCACTTAATAAAGCTGTTAAAATATAATTCATTTAAACGCAACAATTTATCTATTAAAACTTTTGTTAACGATCGTTGATTAAAAAGAATATTTCTAATTAATTTCCAACGAAGACATGAACGTCATTAAGAAACGACTGCAGACGTTAAAGCTCGAGAAAGATCTCGCGATGGACAAAGCTGATCTATGCGATCAGCAGGCAAAGGAAGCAAATCGGAGGGAAGAAAAATTGAGGGATGAGGTTCGTGAACTGGCGAAAAAACTGATGCAAATGGAGCACGATTTGGAAGTGAGTAAGGCCCAACTGGTAAAATCAAACAGAGATCTTGAAATAAAGGAGAGGATCTACATCGTGGTTAGTGTGAATCGGAAGAAATGTATCACATGTGTACACAATTCGATTTGCTTCTACATCAATTGTAAAATTACAGACGCAGTCGGAACTGGCGGTGTTGAATAGAAAAATGCAGCAGTGCATGCAGAATTTAGAAAAGTCGGAGGAACGACGTTTGTCGGCTCAAGTAAAACTCGCGCAAGCCATGGAAACTGCTGAAGACGCAAAGCGGTATAAATATTTATATATGCTTTTATATAAAATTTACCATGCAAATTTTTTGCTATAAAATATTTTTTAACGTATTATACACATAATTAATACGACAAATATTTTATATTAATAGTTGTTAAAGTATTGTAGAGATTAAATTTGTATTAACACCAACATTGTTTTTTTTTTCGCGAGAAATATTATGAGCTGTTATAACCGTGAAACTATTCTTATTTAGCATCTGCAAAGTCCTGGAAAACAGGAGCAAGCAGGATGAAGAGAGAATGGACCAATTGATGACGCAGTTGAAGGAAGCAAGGCTCATTGCTGAAGACGCTGACACGAAATCGGACGAGATTTCGAGGAAATTGGCATTCGTCGAGGACGAGCTCGAAGCGGCGGAAGAAAGAGTTAAATCGAGCGAAGCGTACGCGATTCTCTAAATATAGAGACTGGCGTTCTTTTCGGCTGAACCTTTTCCCACTTCTCTATTTTCAGTTTAAACGGGAACGTTTCACAATGTATCCTACTTTCGAGGACTTCTTTTTACCTTTGCATGAAAATAATTTAGATATACGTGTGCATGAAAGATTTTTTACTCACTTAAAAGAGCTTAACACGCTTGACGCAGGATATTATGTTTTAGGAAAATTCTCGAGAGAGAAGACGAGTTATTTATCATCGGCAATATATTCAAGTCCTTGGAGGTGTCCGAAGAGAAAGTAGATATTCTTTTATGCTAATGAGTTTGTATTTTTTTTATCTAAAAAATTAGAAATATATAAAGATTGTTTGTCAGGCTAACCAAAGGGTAGAAGAATTTAAAGCGCAGCTAAAGGAATTAAAAGTGAGACTGAAGGCTGCTGAAAGACGTGCCATAACTGCTGAGAAAACTGTCAAGATATTCGCGAAAGAAGTTGACAAGAGGGAAGGTAATAATCGTGTTATACGCATATTTTATAGATTTTAAATTTTCACACTTTTGAAAGCGATACCGAGAGGGTTATTAATAAATTGTCTCTCGTTCGGGTTTTTAGATTATCTGCTAAAAGAAAAGGAAAAATACAAATATATCTGCGACGATCTGGACTCCACGTTTTCGGAGCTTACGGGATACTGAGCGGACTTTGCAAAATCGATCAATTAAGTGTATCGCCAATCGGAAGATTTGCATTGCACAAGAACACAAATATAAATTCTCACGTTTATTGAATGTCTCATGAGGTTCGCCCAGAAAATCGACCCTATGTTACTTTACACGATATCAATTTATTTAATCGATTCTACGATCGACACAATGCATCGAAATGCCGTACCACAGATTTAATACAGTTTAAATTTAATCGACAATTTGTTTTAATTGTATAATCTCCGATCGCAGAACGGAGAAAGAATTTGCAAGCTTCTTCATTTCACGGAGCTTTTGCGATGATTTTTTAACGCAATCTCACGCCATGATTGGACCGTCTGCGCCGCACTCGCGCCGGTAAGCTTTATCTCTTCCTCTCTCTCTCTCTCTCTCTACAACGACGTAATTAATCGTAGTTACAATAACAATTGTCCATTTGATTTGTTCGCTCGCCTCCTCCGTCCATATATAGATGCAACAATTAAAGTATATTCTCCGAGCTGCACGGATTATCGCAAATGGCGATGGGGGATGCACCGAGTTGTGTCACTGCATCGTCCTTCGAGGACCGTGTAAATGTTCGCGGGGTAACAATGTAAAAATCCGATAAATCGACCAAAAGCACCTTACCGCGACGAGATCTTAAAGTACCAAATTGCAATCAGATAAATGGCAGGACCGTCTAATCCAAATTAGCTTCGTGAAAAATTGCGCAGTAAAAAATTCGTTGATCAGGTTCGAGATCGTTGATTAGTCTCATCGAGTACTTTTCGTTAGCTTCTTACACGATTGTAATAACGAAGAGAACTGGTCCCTGAAAGGTTACGGCAAGATTACTGACAGAACTCGGTCGGTCCATGACGCAAGAAAAATGTACAAAAATCGTGTCGACGAAAAATGTCCCGGCAACCGTACCAAGAGCAAGACGGCGAGTCGCATTTTGTCCTCTTCGAAGATTGCTCTATCGAATTTAATCGAACACTACGAGTTTGATTGACGTGCTTCCCTTATATACATTAACATACGCGTCGTACATGACTGTATGCACGCGTCTTGATGCCCGTGTACTCAAACATATTGTATTCTACATACGTATTATCTACGGCCTCGTCTTCGTAGTGTCGCGCACAATTTTTCCTTAACTTACCGGCATTATCTCGCGATAAACCCGAAATTCTAAACGTTCCCTTAATATTATGGCATGACTAGAATTTCTTAATCCCTTCCTAGACTTCTCTTTTTTTTCGTAAGATCAAAGTTATCGTCGACGTGTTGTACGGTAGCGTACAATAAATTCGGAGCAGCTTCCTTCGCGCTGAAATAAACTAGGAAGTAAAAATACATACGCCACACAGAGGTCTGAATATAAAACATCACATATACTTAACTATTTAGAGTGACGTTTGTCGGCAGGAAAAAGGGGGCCAAACAGGTTTTTTTCTTTTTTACGTTAAAAACGTCACTGTGATCGCGGTAAAAGTTACAAAAACATCTTTTCTTTCGTTCCGGAGTGTGTAAAATGATCTCAATTAGACCCTTTAGGTCGCGACAAGTAGTCTGCGGAATGGCAGTGTCGTGGAAATATTGGAAGCTCGCAGCGCAGCGGGACGCACGCGTAATTAATTAATTCTAATGGCGATTTCGTATAGTACTTTCGAGTTCAGTCTGAAAAAGGAGTTTTTTGCTGGTACGACTTATTGCATAATAGTAAGATTGGTCGCGTCAGATCACGAAGTCTCAAAGGTGCACGACATTAGAAGAGAGATTTGAAGAAGGAGAGAACCTTGTTCATTGTTGCTCTCTCCTTCAAACGTCTCGGCCGACATTTTTACAGAGTGGGAAACGAGACCGCTACGATTAGCTTCGTACTCGATTCCTCCGATCGTAACGCGCTCCGCGTTTACAGGAAAAACGTTCTACATAGAAGTCTTAGGTTTAATAACGGACTTAAAGTAATCAACGGTACTATATTCGTACGTATATATAAACTTTACAATGCAACAGAGCCCAACCGTCAACGATCCGCTTTTTGGAGACTTGGAAGTCCGGTCTCTTTCCTTTTCTGACCCGTTCTCATCCCGATTCCTAATAACATGCGCGCATCGAACACAGACGAGCATAATTTCCAGGATGGCGAAAGCTTCGAGCTGCTTCATATTGATTTATGGAAAAGATAATTTTATTAAGTATCGATAATGTGGAGGAAATATAGAAAAATTAAATTATAGAAATAAACAGAATTATATATATATAATGATTATAATAAATAGCGATAAATTAATATAATTCAAAATAAAATAATGAACAAAAATAATTAGTGATTTTCGTTATCGTGTTAAACGTACTTCCCATGAATAAATGAATTAAAATCTCTTACCATCTTAGTTGCAAGTTAAATATATAAATTCATCCTACTATAACAACATTATATATATGTATTGTAATAACAGAAATTATTACGGAAAGATTAAATAAAGCGAAGAAAAGTAATAGGTAAAATTGATATAAATAAAAAGGAATTTTTTGCAGTGAAAACAGAAGCAGTCTGCCATCTCTCTTGTTCATGATACGCGAAGTACTCTCCCGTGCTCTGTTCGTACGATTAAGTCTTTGGTCTCGAATGGATCGCCCGCCGGCGAAACGACTCGCAGCGGTCTGAGCAAATTGTCGTTTTGGCACGCATTCGTACACGCGATTCAACGATCATTCACGCACAATTCGGACTCGGACTCACTCACGCACTTCACGCACTCCACGCACGTGTATTATCTCGCGTCGCGTTATAGACAAGGAAGAGGAAAAGCACGTACTTATAGATACTTTCGACTAGCTTTCTCGGCTCGATCAACAAAGAAACACGTTTATAGAAGAACAGTTTTACAGTGTCGCGTCACATAGGTATTAAGTATATCGTTGACCAGATATTGTAAAAATTAATATCCGGAATGCAAAAGTTTTTTTAAATGTAAATTAACCTACATAATAATAGCGCAATTATAAATGTTAGAGCTTTAATATTTTTCATGTGGTAAGAAATCATTATGCGTTCTTCTATACTCGCCCATCTTCGTTGCCTCGATCTTCCTCGCACAATATCTTATTTATGCACACCTCTCCCTCGATCGTCGGCGTTAACGAGCAGAACGTAATTTACCTACCATCGACAGAAGACGTGGCAGTCAAGTGGCTCTACGAATGGCCACGAGGAAATTCTCGACGAAACACGAAGGGAAGAGATCAATTTACCTAATCTTTGGCCCACGGGGTTAAGAGAAAAAGAGGATCTACCATGGGGGTTTGCGACATCCGGGGGACAGATTAGACGGCAATGGAGTAATCCGATGAAGGATTATTCTGAGTGCTTGGCCGCGACCATAGCGAGCTCCGCAGCCCCAGTTTCAGTTTCTTCAGGGAGTCGATGTCGCACTCGGCCTCGCTGAGCTCCGGTCGGTCCCCGTTTCCCGGCGTGGGCACCACCCCCTGATTGCCGCCGACAAACGCGGTCTCCGCGACCGAGATCGGCGGCAGTAGTGTGCGTAGAGAGCTCCTGCTGGGAACATGCCATCTTACGAGATAGCAAAAAAAAAAACGAGCTTACTGACGGGTGTTGCGAATAAAAGCGATGTATAATGGAAATTTATATTGGAAATTGGAAAGTTGGAATTATAATCTGTGCTTTGTTATTTCAGAACCATTACCTTGATCGCCCCCTCCGTGGCAGTGACTTCTGTTCGGACATGGGAGAAATGTCCGAAGACGTGCTCGACGTGCCGTGATAGATAAAGTCCGAGACCGCGCGAACTAAAACGACAATTCGTTAGAGTTAGAATGTCGATGAACCTAGCGTTTTTAATACATTTCAGATCAGAACGTACTATGTTTTAATTTTCCAGCGTCCAACTGATTCGACGACTCCGTGCGCGAGCTTATCAGTTGGTCCGGGTCAGACTCGCTCTCGTCGCTCTCGACATCCCCTGGGGTTTGCTGCTTTCTCTGCTGTCGCCTTCTCGACGAGACGCTCTTCATGCTCTGCGCATAGGAGTTTCGTGTGCAAAATGTAAATTATAGCAGAACTCTAATTCAGTTTTAATCTCCATATCAATTCATATTGTTAATTAGCAATTATAGAATTAACAATTTGCAAATTAAATATTACACATATAATACAAAATACAATATTATTAATTTAATATATAACACATATATATATGGTATTCCATATATAATTTATACAATAATATTTCAAAACTGGGTTGAGTAATTAATAAAATTCCAGTGAAAGGAAGAGATTTGTGGGGCGTATACCGTCGCCGCCGGTGGAGGGCTCGCGCACCCTTCGGTCATGGCGTGCTCGTGATACATGAAACTGTGTAGAAGAGTGTTGTTCGGGTGAAGACCGGCCGCCGTGGCCTCCGCCGCGCCTCCCAGTCCGCCCAATGCGCCCAACCCTGCCAGGCTTCCCCCGCCACCCTCCGAAAGCTGGAACGTAGCGTACGGCGAAATGTCCTCCGCTGTCTCTGTAACCCATCAGAGGCATTGCCTACCTTTCAAATCGCGTCGGGCTAACTGTCTCAGTCATCCATCCATTTCGATTTCATATTTACAAACGAAGACGCGCGAAATTATTTCTCAGGCGCAAATATGTAACTATTTTTATGCTTAAAATTAATTAAACAACATTAAACAGAGAGCATTTAAATTTAAATTGATTAATTCTGTGGTTTAAAAATGTATAACGTAATAGATATTTTCTTAAACATTTTTTTTAAGTTTTATTTCGCTAAGCAGCCTTGTTTTACTGTTGACCGGCGCTAAAGGTGGCCGACTCGTACCTGCGCAACAGTAATTATAGTACCAAACCTGGTGGTTGTCCATATCGTAACAAAGGTTCACCTGGAATCTTGTCGGGCCCCGCGCCCGTATTCGCCGCTTGTTGCAATGCCACCTTATGTATCGTGGCATAGTAACGCTCTCGCTGTGTCTCCGCGTTCTGTTGATTCTCCTGCGACTCTTTCATCGGCCGTTGCATTTGGCCTCCCAAATATCCTGGCAAACGTATCCTCCCATTAATCTTTCCAATTTTTTTGGCATATTACAAAAAATGTCAAGAGATATATATTCAAAATGGTATTGCGGAAGAATACCAATAATTTACTTAAATATAAAATGAAGACAATTAGAAAGATTAACAACCAAAAATATTTTACGAAAAAATCTCAGAGGCGATAATTGCGTGTTCATTAAATTGGACTCACTGTTCTTCCAGCGAAAGGCGACAATGACCGCTGCGGCGACCAATGCGACAGTAGCCACTAGCAACGGCAGTATCACCTTAATGTCTGCATAGAACGGCATGGCCGATGTCATCCCGCGCTTTGACAGTCCTGGCGGCGGTATTTCTGCAAAGTTACAGGAACACAGTGCTTTT